AGGCCTTAAGCAACTCAGTGAGACCCTGTCTCTAAATAAAATATAAAAAAGGGCTGGGGATGTGGCCCAGTGGTTGAGTGCCTCTGGGTTTAATCTCCAATTAAAAAAAAAAAAAAGAAAGAAAGAAAGAGTGTGGCAGAGGGAAACAGCTCACATGAGGAGCAGGAAGCAGAGAGAGACACTCCACTGGCCAAATACAAATATTTAACCCCAAAGCCACGCCCCAATTCCCACCTCCCCCAGCCATACCCTACCACTTCAGTTACCACTCAGTTAATCCCCTCAGGGATTAATTCACTGGCTAGTTTAAGGCTCTCACCACCTAATCCTTTCTTCTCTGAACCTTCTTGCATTGTTTCCTAAGTGAGCTTTTAGGGGACACCTCACATCCAAAGCACAGCACTTTATTTTCTATTAATGAGAGAACACATAATTGTTCCAGCTACAGGGGCATCTTTGGGGGAGTTTCCAACACTAGTCTTGTACTCAGGACTTGATCCTTGTGCTAACTCCCTTCTGGAACTAGGGAAACGCAGATACTCTTCCTAGCTGGATCTGGGAGCTGAGGCAGGGCAAGAGACAAGGAAAAAACTGGCATGTGGAACTGCAAATTAGAGGTGGAAGAAGATTAAGAGACAGCAAAGTAGGGCATGGCTAGGCTCCTACCTGAATCACAGAGGCAGAACTAGTGAGGAGGTAGCCAGGCTGACCTAGAGCTGCTGGGGCAGAGCAGGCCTTGAAACAAGACTGAGAAGCACACCTGAACCACTCCCTGAGGGCCCAGAGCATGGCATAGGAGCTTTATAGAAGCCTTGGCTAGGAATGGGGAGGGTGCTGTTAAGAGGATGGAGGTTCTGATGAAACGGAGATGACGAGGAGTCACTGTGAAGGTTGTTGACCAGAGGCCAACAAAATGGTATTTTAGAAAATGAATTAAGCAGCATTATAGGACTAACATGTCACAGATGCATATCAAGACAGATGTGAAAGTTATGAAAGTCTTTTTTGAAAGCACCCCATTTGCTTTATCTTTGCTCACCATAAAGCTTAACAGGCAGGGCTTACTCAATAAATGTAAAATATGAATCAAAGGCCCTCTGTAGAAGGATTGCTTTTGTCCTTACACCAAGAGCATCTCCTACAATAAAGCAATAAATTAATATCATTGTTTCTATATCAAATTCCATAATTTTGGACATTGTGAATCACTTTCATGCAGCCTAATCATTCCTGGATGAGCTAATGACACTGAGTTTCTAAAGCCTGTAGACTTAAGATCTGATGCAATCAATTCTTTGGTTTCATCAAGCAAATTCTTTGCATTGAGATAAAAATTTATTGGAAAGATGTAGGGCAGGTCATTTGGCTTCAATCGGTCAGAACCAAAGCAGCTTCAGTGATCTTAAGTAGCAGGGACTTGCAAACTCTTCCTATGGTGCTTTCCGATACCAGAGTTTCATCATCATCTGTTTCTTTGTTTATCAGCTCAAAATTCACATTTCTGGGATAAAAAGTGATATTGACCAAGCAAAGATCAAGCATCAATGTCTGTGTTGGCAGTGGACAGAAGTGTTTTGTTACTGAAAAGCCCATTAGAACCACATAATGTGGGCTGGGGATGTGGCTCAAGCGGTAGCGCGCTCGCCTGGCATGCGTGCGGCCCAGGTTCGATCTTCAGCACCACATACAAACAAAGATGCTGTGTCCGCCAAAAACTGGAAAATAAATATTAAAAAAAAAATTCTCTCTCTCTCTTTCTTAAAAAAAAAAAACTGGACCCTTCACTTCCACTTAGGTATTCACCCTCAAGAGAGTTTGAAGAGGTGCTTGGACAAGATGCTGCCGAAGGATCCTTCTACCCCTGAGAAGGCCACACATAACATTTGTCATCCCAGAGACATTGATGAATCCATGGACTGTGGAGCTTATCTATAAAAGCCTCATTTCCTAGGATTTTCAATATTTTCTCAGTATGTCTACATGATCTGGACAATTTAAAATTTAAAATTCTAGTATAAACTAATATACTATCAAATTTAGAATATATTTAGAAAAGTGCACAAATCAAAGAATTTCCACAAAGTGAGCAATATGTATAATCAGGACCCAGATTGAGAAATAGAATATAACCTCAGTAGGTCCTTTTCTAAAAATATCTTCATTTTGTTTATTTATTTCCATGTGGTGCTGAGGATTGAACCTAGTGCCTCACATGTGTGAGGTGGGCACTCTGCCACTGAGCCCCAGCCCCTCCCCCTCAGTGGATCCTCTTCATTCCCTCTTCCACTCACTTCCTCCCAGGAAAGGTAACCACTGAACGAACGTCTATCTCCACTGGTCAGCTTTGCTTGGTTTTGAGCTTTATATAAATTGTACATTGTATGCTCTTTTGTGTCTGGTTTCTTTCATTCAACATTACATTTTATAAGAGTCATTCATGATGCCACAATTAGTTTATTCATCCTCACTGCTGTAGTATTCCTTTTATGAATACACCACTGTTTATCTGTCCCAGTGTTGATGGACATTCTTTCCAGTTTCCAACTATCATGAATAGTGGTGATATGAACTCATTTCTGGGTAAATATCAACAAGCGGAATTTCTAGCTCAGGATTGTGCAGATATACAATTCCGAGAGCAGTATGTGAGCAGTCCAGTTATTCTACATCCTTGACATAGCATCTGAGTGTCCCCTTAATTTTAATCATTCTGGTAGGCGTGTAGCACCTCACTATGGTATTAATTTCTATTCCTCAGATACTAATGAAGTTGATCATCTTATCATATATGTTTATAGGCCACTTGAAATTCTCTTTTGAGATGTGCCTGTCAAAATCTTTTGCCCATTATCTTATTGGGTTATCTCTCTTTTTTAAATTGATCCCTAAAAATCCTTTATATGTTTTGAGTCCTTTTTTTTGAGTATTAAAAATATCATCTCCCATTTTGTGCTTTTCCTTTTTATTTCTTAATCATGTCATTGGATGAACATAAATGCTCGATTTTAGTGTTTTTCAATTAACTGACTTTTCCTTTATTCTTAGTGTTTTTAATGTACTGTTTGAAAAAAATCTTTGGCAGAGACATTGTGATAGTTGGAAAAACAGTGAAAGGTTCATGAAAAGCTTTAAAAAGTAAGGATAAAAACATGGTATTTGCAGGGTTAGGTGGCGCACACAAGTAATCCTAGCAGCTAGAGAGGCTGAGGCAGGAGGATCGCAAATTCAAAGCCAGCCTCAGTACTAGTGAGGCACTAAGCAACTCAGTGAGACCCTGTCTCTAAATAAAACACAAAATATGGCTGGGGATGTGGCTCAGTAGTCGAGTGCCCCTGAGTTCAATCCCCGGTACCAAAACCAAAACCAAAAATGTGTCATTTATTAACTCCAGGGGATGAGAGGAATGTACTAGAAATAAAACAAAATTACAGTATAGCACTTAGCTAAATCATGATGATTATTTATATAATTACCATAATATAATCACTAACTATTGATTTATGCAAAAATTATAATTTTGAGGTCTCTGAGGGAAGCCAATAAGTAATAACCATCTTCTCAACCTGAGTATGAACAAATTGAGAAGTAAAACAAAAGACTGATGGAGAGGGGTTAAAATGTCACTTTTATAATAACTGGTAGAGTCAGGTTGGAGGATGTGGCATCAGGTCTTTGCAGAGTGGTATGGTTAACACAGCATCAGATTTAGGCAGAGTTACCTCTTCAGTAGGTCATGCTGGACAAGGGGCAGTGCATCTCCTGTGGGCCCCTGGTGGGGCCATTCAGCCAACAGGAGCCCCTGGGCCAGCAAATGATTGTCTTTCATCCAGCACCACTAGATTTTCAAACTTGTCTCTAGGAAGTAGTTTAATTGAAACAGAAGCAAACATTATTATTATTATTATTATTTTAATAAAAAGAAAACTATTACTGGCAGGTAGGTATTCAGGCAAGAGTATATTTTAATTAAGACATAAAACCCTAAACATACAACGTCTCAAACCCAAATTAGATTGATTCCTTGGTCATATAACAGTATGACAGACCAGGGCATATGTTCCTCATCAATGGAAGCAGCTCTGCTGTTTCTCCACATAGCTTCCGAGGCTATACTGGTCATCTCAGCATGCAGAAACAGGCGAGGAAGGTTCTTATGGGCCCGGCCTAAACAAGGACCTCCATCATTTCCATTCATGTTCAACAAACTATATACCCAACTGCAAAGAAAGACAGTTATGTGCTCCAGGAGACTAAGAATTGTGGTGAACATCTGTCAGTCTCTGCCACAAGGTTGAGGTCATTTGGGCAGAGACCTATTTTTTTCCCCATTGCCTCTTGTGCCTGATGTGTAGCAGGCCCTCAGTAAGAGTTTGTTGAATAAACGCTAACCTGAAAGACCTAAACCCTAATTCCAGCTCTGCCACTGTCCAATTGGCTAATCTAAACAAGTTACTTACATTTCTTGAGCCTGTTACTGCCCACATAATGGAGATGAAAATATGACTGTGATCTGCTTCCTATGCCATACCAGCCAGAAGTGGAATAGGTAGTAGCTGAATATATTCCAAATAATAACAAGTTACTATTTCTCTGGTGCTCTCTCCTTCTCGATATTTGTGAAATACATCTCTGTTTTTCTCCCAAATAGCGCTGGGTGTGTGTTAGGAACTTGTAACCAGGCAACAGTTGTTGTCTCATATGCATTCTTTAAAAAAAAAAAAATCATAGATTCTTGGACTGGGGGATGGCTCAGTGATAGACACTTGCCTCATATGTGTTCATGGGTTCAGTCCCCAGCACAGAAAAACAAAAATGTACACATTCCTAAAGAACTGTAGTCATCCAAGCAGTTGATGAAGGCTGTCATTTCCTTGTTTTCTGGCTCTTGTACTCTGGGACAGATGGGACAGACCAGATGAGCAAGGACTGGGCTGAGGCTGCGTGCATGTGTCCAGTACTTTGTGGTTCAAGGTCACTGTGTGCTCTCTGCTCCCATAATATCTCCAGAACCCCATGGGTAGCCCTTGGCCACATAAGCTGCCCAGCAAGGGTGATCGTATTACTTTGCCTTGATATCTTTCAAGTTTGTTTATTTGTTTTTGGCCTTTTGTTCAATCTTACAAACTAAAGCAGGAATCCCAGAGCAAAGTTAGCATATAATGTTAGTGACAGGCAGCTTGCAATATTATGACAGCCCCTCCACTATCACCCAAAACTTGTCTTATTATTTTTATTATTTTTGTTTAATTTTTAGTTGTAGATGAATGAAATATCTTCATTTTATTTATTTATTTATCTATCTATCTATTTATTTATTTATTTTTAGGTGGTACTGAGGATCAAACCCAGTGCTTCACATGTGCCAGGCAAGTGCTCTATCACGGAGCTATAACTGCAGTCCCTCCCATTATCTTTAAAATGAATTCTTTCTCAGAACATCCTGGATTGTTCAAGCAAACAGGTTCACCTCCACACAGACTTCTAGACATTGCTAGATCTGTCTGAACTCTGGGCTTCATCCAGATTAGTGACTAAACTGGGTCTCCTTGGACCCCACCTCCACAATTTTCTTCTTTGCAGGGTTGAATAGGAGATTTAAAAAAAAAAGTGAAATACTAGAGTATCAAGAAGGTATATAAGAATAACTTTGTCATTTGCTAATAAATAAGACTATCATGCTAAGTGAAATAAGCCAATCCCCCAGAATCAAAAGTTGCATGTTTTCTCTGATATGTGGAAGTTAACCCACAATAAGCCGGGGGTGGAGGTGGGGGAGTAGAAGTTCAGAGTAGACAAAGGGGAATGAAGGGAAGGGAGGGAGGGATAGGAAAAGGAAAGACAGTGGAGGCCTGAGGTTGTAGTTCAGTGAAAGGGCGCTTGCCTCACACATGTGAGGCACTGGGTTCAAACCTCAGTACCATACAAAAATAAACAAATAAAATAAAGGTATTGTGTCCATCTATAATTAAAGAAAAAAAAGGAAGAAGAAAAAAAAGATAATGGAATACTCCGATATAATTTTTCTATGTACATATATGAATATACTACAATGAATCTCACCATCATGTACATCCACAAGAAATTAATTTTAAAAAATACCTATAGGTAGGGCTGGGGTTATGGCTCAGTGTGCCTGCCCAGCACATGGGAACACTGGGGGTCAATCCTCAGCACCACATAGAAATAAATCAAACAAATAAAGGCATTATGTCTATCTACAACTAAAAGAATATTTTTTAAAAAGTAACTGGATAAATTGCAGAAAGATCAATAGAGGGAAGGGAGCAGATGGTGGAGAAAGAGAAGGGGAAGGAGAGGTATTGGAGACTGAATTAGAACAAGATGTATTCCATGCTTGCATAATTATGTCAAAATGGATTCTATATTGTATATTATGTATAACTAAAAAGAACCAACAAATAAACAAAAGAAGGTACACGATAAGTGTTGATTCCTTTCATATCCCTTGAGTGATTTCTAGAATCACCAAAATTAATAGATATATCATCTGTTCCCCAGAAGGCTCCCTTCTGGCTACAAACGCCTTTGAAATTAGGTTTAGGTGCTGCATTACTTTGGTACCTAAGGCAAAGCTGGCAAATTCAGTTAACATTCAGTCTTAGAATGTAGGACCAGGGGAGTTTGAATTCCCCAAACCACGAAACAGGAAGCTGATACAGACCCCAATATAGTGATATCATGGGAGCAATATATTTACATATTACCTTGTTGTTCTAATTATCTAGATGAGGTAGTACTGGCTGTCCCAACAGCTGCTACACGAGACCCTTATCTCTCCTGATAAGAAGCCAGAATTATATCCCCAAAAGCACATGGAAAAGAGGAAAGAAAATATGAAAGACAGAAAATATGCAAAATAAATATTGTATTCTGACAAATGTCTTCTGGTTGAATTAGGGCAGAAAAGAATAAAAACATGGAAAACAAGAAGTCCTCGAAGGAGCTGAGGAAAGGACAGATGAGAGCTTGGACCAAGAGGCCATTCTTTTTTTTTTTTTCTTTAGTTGTAGATGGCCACAATGACCTTATATACACAGGATACCTGGGAAACAGTATTCTGTTCTAGGGAAACTGTTATAGTATGGCTACTATAACACTATATACCCTTAACTAGAGCCTCATTCATCAATGTCCTTGCATGTCCAACAGTGTGAAGTAGACAGAAAACAGGAACCACACATAAGACTGAAGTGAGAAGGAAAATGGTATCAGAGTCAATAGAGAAAAAGAATAAGAATAAAGTAGAAAAATAAAAACACTAAACACAGTGGAAATATCACTTTTGATGAAATTGTCAACATTGCCCGACAGATGCATCACCAATCATCAGCTACAGAACTTTCTGGAAACATTAAGGAGATTCTGGGGACTACCCAGTCTGTGGGTTGTAATGTTGATGGCCGCCACCCTCAGGACATCATAGATGACATCAATAGTGGTGCAGTGGAGTGTCCAGCTAGTTAAGAAGTACATGGGAAAATTTCTTTTCCACAGTTAAGTACATGGAAGAATATTTTAATAAAGGATCATCTGACAAAAAAAAAAAAGAAGACATGCTGAATGAAGGATGCATACTCAATGGATGCAACTAAAATAAACAAAAGGAAAAAGATTTGCATAAACTTAACAATTGTAATCAGTGAACTGGACTGAGTGTCAACAAACACTGTGAGGCAAGTGGTGATGACAAAAGAAATCTCAATTGCTCATTTTTACTGAGAAAAATCTACAGGCAATTGCACTTCAAAAAAATAAATTATTTTCTTGTAAAAAGAGAATCTGCTGTTTGAAGGAATCCTGTGATGGTCCTTCATACAAAGCAGAGTTCTCTATAAAGTCAACTATCACTCCCATTTGTTAAATAGATGAATTGGTTAGTTGCCTAATTTATCATTTTTGTAGGTCTGTATTTTCATCTACTAGAACTCTGAACATCAAAAGTTGCCTGGAGATGCCACACCACATCTCCTTCCAAAAGTAACCAAACAACAAATGAAGAAGGAGTGGCCCCCAGACCTGGGCTGTCCAGTATACCAAGGAGAGCCAGGCAAGTCAGGTTCCCTCCCTTGCGTTTTTGGACTAAGGAACCCAGGGGTTGAAATGGAAGGAATGATAAGTTGCCAACCAAAGTTTAAGAGACAAGAATGACAAAGCAGAGGAAATTGTCAGTAGGAAAAGGACAATGGAGTGCAGAGAGAAGGAGAGATGCCACAAGTCAAAAAGATGCGCATCAGCTGGCACAGTGGCACATGCCTGTAATCCCAGCAGCTCTGGAGGCTGCGGCAGGAGAACTGCAAGTTCAAAGCCAGCCTCAGCAACTTAGTGAGGCCCAAAGCAACTTAGCAAGAGCCTGTCTCAAAATAAAACATAAAAAGGGGGATGTGGCTCAGTGGTTAAGCACCCCTGGGCTCAATCCCTGGAACTAAAAAATAAATAAGTGTATAAGTGTGTGCGTGTGTGTACATCATGCAAGAGAGACAAACTTCCACTTCAATTTGAGTGTGTGCACGTAATTTTTATAACATTCATTCTCTAAGAGGTAATAATATCCAATTATAGTTACCATGTACTAAGTACTTACTGGGGTCTTCGTTATCTGCATCTCTGTGAAATAGGCATTGTGATCTCTCCACTGGTTGGTGAGAAATCTGAGGCCAAAGAGGCCGTGATTTGCTTAAACTCACAAACCACCAGCAAATGGTAGATTACAGATTCCAACCAAAGTTTACCTGACTACAAAATCTATCCTCTTAACACAATTGTGCTGGCTCTCCTGATCCTGATAATTAGAATAGTCAGACCAGGCAACTGTGGACATGAATCCTCTTGGTTTATGCCAGGAAAAAATTATGTCAGATTGGATTTTAAAAACTATGCTTTCCAGGTACAGGGGCACATGCCTATAATCCCAGCTACTCAGGAGTCTAAGGCAGGAGAGGAGAATCACAAGTTCGAGGCCAGCCTGGGTAACTTCACAAGACCCTGCCTTAAGGGGTTGGGGTTGTGGCTCAGTGGTAGAGCGCTTGCCTAGCATGTGTGAAGCACTGGGTTTGACCCTCAGAAATACATAAAAATAAACAAATAAATAAAATAAAGATATATATATATATAAATTTTTTTTAAAGACCCTGGCCTGGGACTAGGATTGTGGCTCAGCGGTAGAGTGCTCACCTAGCACATGTGAGGCCCAGGGTTTGATCCTCAGCACCACATAAAAATAAATAATTAATTTTTTAAAAAAGACCCTATCTCAAAATTAAAAAATCTAAAAAAGGATTAATAATATAGCTCAGTGGTAGAATGCTCCTGAGCTCAATCTCTAGTACCACACACAAAAAAAATTTTAAATTAAATAGCTATGATTATACAATGAACACAACAGGGGATAAGCCTGCCTGGATTCTCTTCTTCTTGGGAAGAGAAGAATGGAAGAAATACAGGAGGTATGGGATCATGCTATACAAGAAAAGATTAGATAATCACTCTTGGGGAAAGGTTTACTTAAAATGTAGACTAAGACCGGGTGAGGTGGAGCATACATGTTATCTCAGTGGCTCAAGAGGCTGAGGCAGGAGTTCAAAGCCAGCCTCAGCAAAAGTTCAAAGCCAGCCTCAGCAAAAGCAAGGTGCTAAGCAACTCAGTGAG